TTGAAGTGACTGACGGCCATGTCCGCCGAGAGAAACTGGCAAACAGTTTGAACTACGTGTGTTTGAATTGTGTCTAAACAATAATGCCACGTCATTTTTTATTCATTGTTGTACTATTTAACATTAATCAAACTGTATATTTTTCGCCAAAATTCATTACATTACATTCATTGTTTGATTGGCATTGCTTAGAAGTTGACGCAGAATCTTAGTGTTGAGTGTAGACTGTGTGTGATCAGGTAAAATTCCACGAATTTGATGCCGTTTCACATGCGTATGAATATTATGAAATGCGACTTTGCCTCTGTTATAAGAGTAAACTGTTTCTTGTCTTTTTAGCTTCTTATTTCAAAACTCGACGATGGGTAACAAAAACAATAATTTACAAGTGACGAGGAATGAAGGATTATGTTTCCCAATTGAAATGAATGTTGAAAGTCCCTCGCCATAGCTCGGGACGTACAACTTTAATTTCACTTCGGCCAGATAATCCGTCATTCCTCGTCACTCATAAATTATTGTCTATATGCTGCACATGATTTCCAAACTTAACACACTAATCCTGCACGAGACAAGTGGCGCTTCTTCTGTCATCGTTCATGAGTGTCGGTCCACACAATGTAACAGTATGTTCGTTTGTGCATCGAACCAATCTAATATCTCTTGAATATGAGTAATTCTTCATATATTAACCAACATGTATGGTATTGGAGTTTCTTTTGTCGGTAAGTATATTTTGCTGGTATTAACTCAGTAATTCCCAAGACTACATCTTCGAAGATTTCCACTTTTGCGGAACTTCAGACCTTGATCAGGTCGTACAAACTAGCTGATGAGACGTCTCAATTCCGGCCTCCATCTTGGAAGCATAACATCATTCTACTCCTCTTATCGTCCGAAGATTATGAACCATTTGCAAATAAAGACTTCAAATGTGTCTTCTTTAAACAGTGTTTTTGTTGGCTTAGCGACTGCAGCTCATGTCAGCAAAATCCATGCCCTAGATGTTAATAGGGTATGATTCTAAGGATAGCCCAACAGCTTATTCACTGTTCCTCTACTCTCCTCGATTCTAGGCTCAGATTATCATGAAGACCTCAAGGATCTACCTTCAAGCTTCCAAACCTCTACAACGATTATGTAAAAGGTTATTGATCCCTTTGGCTACAGCTGCGACGGCTTACATTTTCAGGACCACAGTGTCTTTCTTGCTCTGATTATTCTGTAAGCTTATACTTTCATGGGTCAACCGCCCCCTTTGGCCTCCAATCCGCATGAGATGTGTACAAGGGCAGTGGCATCAACGATGGCTCTACACAGCAACTGCACTTTATCAACGATAATGAAGTTGTTGTTGGAAGTCTGTCACAACGTTTGCTTTACACTACCTCAGTCTCATATGTACAGAGATTGCACTGGTTTGGACCACTTGTACTGGCTCAACAACTGACAGTTTCCCACCAGCGCAGATGATGAAGGACTGGCCCCACCATACCAACTGTTGGATAAATGCACAGTGTAAGATAGGATAAGGTTAGAAATTTCTAAATTTTACAATAAATTGTATATTTATAAATACTTATTCGATCTGTCACACTAAATGCCCATCCAACCATCCCTGCATCACACTTACACAAGCCTGTACAATTTCAAAAGAGAATAAGTTAGCTTGGGATGTCATGTGATAACATTGCCACCAGGGCACAGCCTATTGTTGGTGATGTTAGCCATGGAGATGGCTTGGATGTGTTGGGGTTCGTTGTTTCATGAAGCTGTAAACATGGTGGGTCATTTAGGAGATAAACCTACTGTGTTTTGAAATTTGATGTAGTCCCACTGTAGAATAGATACCTCTTTCTTATAAGTTTTAACTGAGCGCTATGGGGCTCTCTTGCAACGCGTAATAACACAGGTGCACAGGTCCGCAATTTTAGAACATTCCCAAAAGTGGTCACAGGTAGTTATATATGTAACAATTATTACTAAAGTTCAAGATTAAAAAAACCATAGTCGTGAGTAGTTCATAATAAGTGTTCAAAACACAGTTTTTCAAAAGAAATTGACAAATAACACTCCTTACTTAGTCCAAAGAGATGTTTTAATTTACACCAAACTGTTGTACACTGTTGTACACTGTGGACTGACTGTCACTTCTCAGAATTTTGTGAGAGAGGTCATTTCTTGTAAATAAAACATGCCATCATTTCTATTGTAGGGGTGACGGGTAATAGAAAAAGGTTTTAAAATGCTAAACGAATATATTTCTACAGCAAACTTTATGAATTAATGTTCTATTATACATATAACATGTGTAACTGTTATTAGTTAGTTAGCAATTAACCCCAGTAAACAATAATAAAATCAAAATAAATGCCTCTCCACCCCGAATTTGGATGTGGCAGATCTTGACCTACATCAACATTAACGGGTAGATTATCTGGGATTGATCGAGCCTGCTGGTACATCCATATGATTACCAATGTGACTGAGTATGATTGAACAGCCGCTTTTTAGGCTGCAGACGATCCGGATATTTTGAAACGAGGCATCTGCATGGTGTGACCTATTAATTTCAAGATTTCACGGATCCAAAGCCAAATAGTGACAGAACTTAGACATTTGTGTCGCAGAAATAGTGGATCGTGTATGATTTTCTTAATTGTGCGTTTTCTGAAATGAATAAGCATCAAGTTTGATAAGCTGTCACTTCAGTTGGGACATTGTTTTCGTGGACTTTTGAAGGGGAGTGTTTTCTGATGGACTTTCAAATCCCCTCCTGCCAAATTCTAACAGTGGCGGTTGACAGAGATGGCAACGAATATCGATCAGAAAAAGGTTTGTAAACAACATGTTGTCATGAATAAAGTGTTTTCAAACAATTTTTATGATGTTATATTTTACTTTAAATAGCTTAAATTGTTCCGATCAACTTGGGGGCACTCACTCTTGTAAGGGGGTACCCTTCCAATCACTTGCTTTGGGCTATTTCCACTCATCTAGAGTGTCCTTTTCTCCCCCAAGTCCAAACCAGAGCTCAGGTCGCAGCCCCGGTCCGCAGACCACCGTCCGAGCCGCCGCAGCGGCCCCAGGACCCTTGCCTAGCTCTCGGTCGTCCCTCTCCTTGTAATAAGCTAGCACCAGAGCTCAGGTTGCAGCCCCGGTCCGCAGACCACCGTCCAAGCCTCATAGCGGCTCCAGGACAGCACCTAGCTCTCGCTCAGCCCTCCTCTGTGATAAAATCAGTCAGCTCCCAAGTTCGTGCCAAAACCATTATATGTATGTGTTTGTTATGATGTACATTAAATATTTTTGCATTCTATCTCATTGCTTGTTGTGTTTGCACAAAATGATAATTTAATATTGTGGTTTGTGCAAATTCAACGTATTTTGTTTTCTACATGCATGTCCAGTGTATTATAAAATTTATTCTCATGTACGTGTTTATGTTGCGCTACAACTATCCCTCGTAAGGTTTCAAATTCCCCCTCTGCGCATGCGCACGGGAGCCTTTTGACCCATAAGCCCCGTGTCTCTCCATTCCTCTCCCAAAGCTAGAAGGACAACAACACTCGCTACAAAATTGCCATACCCGCCAGCCCACCCTCTCTTCACCGGCTTAGGTGCTCACCTTTGTACCATTTTGCTGCTGCTTTGTAAATATGTACAGTTTTTCAATTTTGCCTTTTATTGTCAGGGGCTGACTGATTGGCCTATCATTGGCCAGGCTATTTCCACTCATCTAGAGTGTCCTTTTCTCCCCCAAGTCCAAAGCAGAGCTCAGGTCGCAGCCCCGGTCCGCAGACCACCGTCCGAGCCGCCGCAGCGGCCCCAGGACCCTCGCCTAGCTCTCGGTCGTCCCTCTCCTTGTAATAAGCTAGCACCAGAGCTCAGGTTGCAGCCCCAGTCCGCAGACCACCGTCCAAGCCTCATAGCGGCTCCAGGACAGCACCTAGCTCTCGCTCAGCCCTCCTCTGTGATAAAATCAGTCAGCTCCCAAGTTCGTGCCAAAACCATTATATGTATGTGTTTGTTATAATGTACATTAAATATTTTTGCATTCTATCTCATTGCTTGTTGTGTTTGCACAAAGTTATATTTTACTTTAAATAGCTTAAATTGTTCCGATTCTGGTCACCATAGAACATTTCTCTAACAGTTTCATAAACATTTCATTTGTATGCAAAAGGTATGCCTTCATTAAATCTTTTAATGTCATCATTGAAGCAGTCTGGGTTGCGGCCTAGAATGCTCCAAACATCCGATATCAAACTACCGTATTTCCTCTATTTGATGCTACGCTGTCTATTAATTTCATGAGAGCCCTTGACTCAGCTTGTATTAGAGACCTAGCTGGTATTAGAGCCCAGCGTGTATTAGAGGAAATATAGATATGTTTTACAGTTCATATGGGGGAGTTCGGCAGCCATTTTCTATGAATCGATATGTAGGCTATCTTTGTATTCATTCGCACATTTTTTGTGAAAAGGGTTAATATATTTGAAAGGGGTTTCAGTAGCAAAAAGGAAACCTCATTTTAACCAATCAGAATCAAGCATTCATCAATGTCATGGTAGAATTCCACACAAGGATCTAGAAAGAAGGGGAAATGCGCAGTGTGAGATAAGTATTTATTAATGTACAGTTTACAAATTTCTATTTCTAACACTACTTTTGTTCATCAATGCCATTGGGTGAAGGAAAGAATCATATACAGATAGTTACAAATTTCACTAATCGGTAAAATGAACTATGACAGGTCCTGACTTTCACATGTCTGGACGGGTGAAGTATGGTAATGTGACTAATCAGTCCTGACCCAAGGAAAACGGCGAGAGCGACCTAGCATCCTATTGAGCACATGATCACATGGTTTGACATTTTTAATTGTTTGTCACTCGTATCATTTGTTTCAGCGTTATTTTGTTGTGAATTTGATAGAATATATATGATTAAGAGATCACTTAAAAACAGTATTACATCTTACTGACAATTTGTTTCAGATACTTCACAACTGATAGGCTATTTGCTTTACTTTTGGTCATATGCTACATTCACTGGTCGTGTGCTCTATGTTGAGGATCTCTATGTCTCTCAGAACAACAGGAGGAAAGGTGTTGCATCAGCTTTGTGGGCATTTGCAATGAAGGTACAAACAGTAACAGTAAAAGTATAATATTCATTTATTTGGTTTGACTCTGAACTCACTTTAACGTCATATATGTATTTTCGTTAGTTGTTCATCTGTCCATCCATCCATCCATCCATCCATCCTTCCATTAGCACTGAACTTAAGGCTTTTCATCCTCACATCTACTGGACATATCAATAACACAGTTCTTTTGAAAGAAAATCATTGCCACATATATGAGGACACACTTTACAGATTGCATTTGGAGGGTAAATTGAGCCCTGCAAATGTTCAGGAAGTTCAAACTTCCTTGCAGGTATCTTTGCAGTATTAATTACAATATTACAAAGTTAACAGCAAATGCACAATATCACAAACTGATGCTCGTTCCACTCCTGTGTTGAGTTCTTTGTGTTAATAACAGCTGCTCAAACCATTATGATGACGCCACTTAATCATTGTTGCAGTTGATTCTGATCTAGGAATTCTCATGATTTCTCTGTTACTTACTGTGTATTGTTTCTTTGTTTCTGTTTTAGGGTTATAATCATGATTAGGACAAATGCTATCCATCTTAGCTAGAATTATAGTCTGGGAGCTAATAGCCTTCTTCAGGCTCCTTCAAATAATAATGTTCCAAAAAAAATGTGACACATATAATGGCATATAGTTTCTACATATCTCTGAGCTTGAAAATTTCAAAAGTGCCACCGCAGGAACTTATCTTTGAGAAGAAAGCCAACCTGTTTTCCTCAGAAACTGATATATATTGTTTTTAAATATTTAGGTGATGTACATGAGATATTTCTTCATAATGAAGTTCAGAAATATGAAATGTCAACACCAGAGAACAACCAATCTCGATTGTCTGCCGAAACAGATTCCACTGAGCCTAAAAGGCAAAATAGTGGTGTAAATTATAGGAATAGATCACTGAAAATCAGTTACTTACACTTGATATCACATACCATAACTCTGTACCAGCGCATGACACCTTCGTTACCCTCCTGGTATTATCACTGCCACCAGTGTGCAAGATGCCATTACAAGAATTTTCAAAATTTTCTCTCCAACCCCAACTATAGTGCGCCAGTTAAGAAAGGCACAACAACCAAAAAACTTTGGATATTGAGACAGTAGTTTTACTACAGCAATCATAACACACAAAGATGGCAAAAGTTAACTGCAAAGATATACACTTGGCATCTTCCTTATGAGAGGACTCTGGAGAACACTGATCTTGAACAGTGCTAGCGGTCTCTACTATTTGACTAGTAGGTTTGTAACAGTCGGACCGTACGACACAATATGATGTGCTCCTCAGCTGTGAACCCACAAATTTCAGAATGTTACACCAAGCCCCTGTTGAGACAACAAGGTATATGTAATGCCCGTGTGGCCATCTGTGTGGCGATATGCAAGATCTCCAACAGAACACTCTCAGTTGGAAGTATCTTCCACAATGGAGCATAGGATCTCTTTAAGTGTGTTTTTATTATTGAAATGGGTTCCGTCCGTCCGTGCACGTGTGCATGCGTCCATGCGTCCCAAAATCATTTCCGGAGCATAACTCAAAACCCATTCAATACTTTCTTAGAAAACTTTGCATGTCTATCAGACTCATGCTGAACTGGTGCCTTTTGCTATTTAGGAGTTTTATAAATTTATATTTTTTACGTTTCCATGGCAACAAGTTGGATTTATGTTTTAATATAGGGTGGGTTCACTTATGGAGTATAACAAATAAACTGTTAAATATTTCCTTGCCAAACATTGCATGTCTATACATAAAGCACATAATATCAAATGGCACCAGTTCAGTAAGGAGTTTTAGAAATGTTTATTTTAGAATTTCCATTGCAGCTGTTTTGACATGGGCTAAGAGAAATGTTGGGTCAGTTACCTGGTTTGGGACCATATAGATGACTTCGTCGACTATACGCTTGTTTCTCATGAAGATCATGTTGTTGGATTAAATCCACATCTGAGATAGGAATCTGTGATTGGGTGAATTGATCTCTCTGGGTCAACATTTCAAGGGACGAGAGGACCCTTGACTAAATTTAAGAATTGAGGTGGGCAGCAGGTGTCAGTGAAAATGTGGAACCACCAACCTGTTGCACGGCACCTTCAGCAACTGGATTCTTGTTGTGGTTCTTTGCTCTGCCAATCTTCAAGCATTAACCATGTTGCCTCAACAATCAATCATCAAGAAGAGATGTGAAGCCTGAGGTTGGATCACCCCGTATGACAGTTTGGGGCCCAGTCAGGGACTTGAGCTAGATGCACAACTTGATGAGCACATTATGCAGAGTTTCATGGCATTCATCTGTTATCAAGCACGCTGCAGTGAAGGATGTAACACATTTTCTTACCACAAGAACTAACTGTCTTTCTCTGTCATAACATCTGCAACAAAGAGGAGGCCGACAGCTTCTAGGGGATCAACAATTGCTTTTCCATGACATGTTTCTTCTGGGACAGGCATGTGATTTTGTCAATGTCAAGGACATAGAAGTAACAGTGGACAGCAAGTTTTAGACAGGTTTGGTGGTCTCCCGAGCCATGATGATGTGTTCCCTTGTAGGAGCTAGTGGTTCATTCTGAGGCACAATGTCTGTTTCTTAGATGGGTAAGTCTTAGGTCAGAGCTCTCGGACTTGATTGCATTCCATGCAACTCTGTTTGTGTAAGGTAACCTCGCATCACCACAAATAATATCCCGAGTAGAGAGAAACAGTAGATACCTCAGTCCATTGGACAAAAGAGCACATTTGACAAGATTTGTTTGTACAGCTGGGAGCATTTCTGCTGGCACATTCAGATGGGATGTTGGCTGTGCTGGATAAATGCCGTACTGAAGCATGGCTGACTGAGGACACAAATGCGGAAACTCTTGGGCTTGCAGGGAGCTCACCACGACAAGAACTGGACACAAGACTTGCTGTTAGTAAGGATACAACACTTATGAGGGTGGATGTAAGTGCGGACTGGGAAAATTTGAAGTCTCCTACGAGATGATCTTGATTTATCTTGTCCTGTGACTGTTGGCCAGCCTGAATACTGTCAAGTGAGCCAATACTGGAAGCACAATTAAGCAAACACGGGCCAGTACCTTGTAAGCACTTATGAATATTGTAGATATCGTATACAGGCTGCCTCTGATTGTGGCTTGTCATATCCATTCAAGTATAGTAACTGAGGATGGACTGATGAATGTTTTCTTGGTGGCCAGGTCAAGGTTGTTGATATACAGTGCATCGAGGATATGGCGCGAGTTCGTCAAAGCACTAGAAGGGAATTGGCTCAACAATAGGGGTCATCTGCAAGTTTAGCAATCATACCCACCTGCTGGAAATCACCCAAACCACAACACATGAGCTGCTCAAGTACTGTTTCAGACCCTTGCATATCCATGGCACTTCTGGTATAAACAATGACTCCCTTAAAGGGGTTACCATGCCACAATATTTCATAGAGGCCTTCAATAGGTGGATTTGGTAAAATGCAAGTGTCAGGTCTGTGGTGATGATGTCCTTCCAGGACACTATCAGTCTCTGGGTAGAATCCACATCTGGCACGATAGAAGGTTGGGGCATACAGTAGCAGCCCTCATCAGTGAAGGCTGTAACCAAACGAAATCCGCCATTGTCTTTTTTCACATTGAATGAAGGGTTAAGGTATTCAGCAGCTTGTCCCTTATGCTGAGGAGGTCGAGGTGAGTGGGGTTTAATGCTCAGTGCAAGATTATTGAACTAATATAGCAACGTGCATGCATATGTGTGTGGCTGCTCGTACTAGTTCGGACTGATGTTGACCGTCAAGTACCATCTTTTAACATCTTTTGGTATGGCGTGTCCAGGGTTTGAACCCATGAGCTTTAGCTCTCCAGGCAGATGCTCTATCCACTAGACCACAGAGGCTGTGCTGGATGAACTGGGCCCATATTGACAACTGCTCACTCGCCCTCAGGAAGTTCTATCTATGGCAGGGGTCGGTCCTCCTCTGTTGATCATCAACATGGCAGACGGTAAGAACTAAGGGAACTAACTGTTAGTCTATACCTACGTGGATCAGAGACAGGGATGGAATGCTTACCTGGTTTATCAAGATACTTACTACCAGCGACCTGGATATCCGTACTCACCAAGTTTTCCTGACTACCGCTTTACTACCGACTACTTTTGTTCTCCACTCCGCCATCCTCCTTTGGAACGTCCCTTATATGATGACAACCCTCGACCTTCTCTAAACCTAATGATCATAGTTCGTTGGGGAATAGGAACATCAGCGCCATTCCCAAAGCCGATCTTGTTAAGTTCACAGATCACGGGATCACATTCCCACCTGGTTGGCTACTCCAGAACCTTGTCCACCTATCTTATCTACGAGTTGGGATCACCATGATCAACAGCAGAGTACGAAACCCTTGTTTGACTCCTTCATGAAAGCCATCTCTACACTATTACTTCAATGTTTGGGAACTCTGTCGACCTCTCAGATACGGCTCCAGTTCCGGTTACCTCCCATTCAGTCACTCCATAACAGCAGGGACCCATGAAGATCTGGGGTAGAATAGGTCTTCAGCAACCAAAGGCTTGCCATGTAAAGGGACTATGCTTGTCACAAGAGGCAGCTTACGCAATCGGGTGGTCAGGCTCGCTGACTTGGTTGATGCATGTGTATCCCAATTGCATAGATCGATGATCATGATCTTAATCGCTGGATTGTCTGGTCCAGACTTGATTATTTACAGACTGCCCTCATTTAGCTGGAATATTGCTGAGTGCGGTGTTAAACAAAAAACAAACAAACATAACTGCAGTCCATCATTTATCTACCACCAGCCTTTACGACCGAAGGGGTCATGGGAGGCCCAGTCGTCTAAGACACAGCGATTCGCTGTGCAGAGTTGCGTCCCTTGGGCACACCGAAAACCTATGATTGTGTGTTCGAATCCTGGTTCGCCCAAATTATGTTTCTAGCTTTGTCAGCACCATACCCGTGTTCGTGGGTTTC